TTTTTTGTATTTTAGTAGAGACAGGGTTTCACCATGTTGCCCAGGGTGGTTTCAAACATCTGAGCTCAGGCAATCAGCCTGCCTCAGCCTCCCAAAGTGCTGGGATTACAGGTGTGAACCACCATGCCCGGCTAGGTTCCACTCTTAAAAAGCTAGTTCATGGAGCAGAAGACTGATACAAAAACATACGATGAAAATTCACCTTGTTAGATGTTACAGTGGAAGTGGGTACAAAGCACTCCTAGAATACAGAGGAAGAAATGACTGACCATTCTGAGAAGTTTCAGAGGAGGCAAAGCTTAAGCTATGTTCAGAAAGTTGAGTAGTAAGTTTTCAGGAAGAAAATGAGTAAGGAAGCGTAAGGAACTTGAGAAAGTAAAAAAGTTCATGGTGAATGTAAGGGACCGTGGGAGGCTCATTATGGCTAAAGCAGAGGTGGTGAGTGGGTGCCTTTGCACACTGTCATGCATGCTGAAGGGAAGAGGCAAGGGAGATAATGAGGACTGACAGTCTTCAAGTTCATACAAGGCTGGGACTGGAAATTAAATGAACTGGAAGTACAAGGAAGTGTGGGGATTGAAGATGCTAGGGGAAATGACAATGACTTTATTTTCCTAATTAGTTTGTCTTAAAATAGTCAAGTAATTCTTGATTCTTCCTTCTTTCTGTTGATATCTGTCCATTGATGTTCTTCAATTTTTTTTTTCTCAACCGTCCCTTCTTTTACACTTCTACTGTCATTCCCAAGTGCAGGCAACACGCACTGCATGCCTGGATACTTACTCCAATTAACTCCTGAATGTCTCCATATATATGTATATATGCACATTTGTGAATCTGTATATATAGAATGCGCATCATTATAGCAGGTTGGCTTTTAGGCCCCCCACTATCTGATCTCAGCCTCCTTAATCTTTCTGTCTGGTTTGCTCCGGGGTCCTAAAGAATCCCGAATAATTTAGGTTTTGTCTTTCATACGGTCTACTTTTCTCCTCCCTCCCCCTTTCCTCTTGCCTTTCCACTTACCTTATTCTCCTTAATTTTCAAGACCCATCTATGGTCCTAAGACCCACTCTTGTAAGAGTGGCTCAGGGAAAGGGTCATGCCTTCTTATGTGACAGTGGTATATAAAAGATGGCCTATTCTGGCTGCTCCCAGTCATCAGACCCCTCAGATCCTACATTCTTCTTCTTTCCTAAAGTCGTCAGACCCCTCAGATCCTACATTCTTCTTCTTCCTTCTGAACTTCCTTTGTGAAATTTACTTGAATTTTTCCTTCTCTATCTTCTCACCAACAACCTAAGCAACACCCCCTCACTCTCACCCTCCCCACCCCACACACATACACACTTCAATTGCTGTTTAGTCTTGGTGTACAAATTGTTCTCAATAAGGGTTCAAGATGGCCTGGAACTTCCAATGAGGCTTCTCTTCAAATAATTGATTCAAAAGACCTTGGTGATGAGGATGAAAATGAGGCCAGCAGGAAAGAAAGTACCAGACGTAAAAGTTCCAGAAACCATTGTTCATTCCCAAACACACAAATTGGAAAGAGTTGCCATTTTGGTTCTAAATTTTATATGCTCAAAATTACCTCTGTTTGTTAAAAGGACTTCCAAAAGTAATATTTTCTTCTACTGTAGCATTTAATAGCCAAGGCTTTTGAGCTGCATACGCCACAGAATACCTGTTCCTACTGAAAAATGAAAAAGAAAAATAGAACACCAGGATTATGCAAGGGTACTGTGCGTGTATGTATTTTACTATAGATAAGGGAAATAAAATTAGTAAACTATCTCAGACACAGAAATGGAAAACTTCTAAAAGAGAAAAATTTAAAGACCACCAACCTTATTAAGAAATGATTAAATATGCCACCTAAATTAAAGGGATTAGGATTTAATAAAAATGTCACATGTATAAAATTGGTTCGTACACTGAAGAAGTGTTTTATAATCTAAACAACTAATTGAATTTTCCTTTTCTAAAGTGACTACAATTTT